CATCCTTCCTCCTTCTCCCAAAGCATCCTTCCTCCCTCTCCCTCAGCATCATGCCCCCTCTCCCAGGTAGCTCTCCCTGGCACAAAGGAGGGGGCAACACTGACTACAGGCAATGGACAGCATTTACCTAGTAGCCCCCCAACTCCCTCCTCCTCAAAATGTCTCATCATTTAGGTCATCATGCCATGTCGATGGATCTTTATTTTATGTTTTTAATTTAAGATATAAAGGATGAATTATTGTTGTCCGAGGTTGGTGAAAATAAAAGAATAAAAATTTTATCTATCACCTTTCTAAGTCATGTAAATGGTTTATCCCATATATCAAAAGAATGAAATATCAATATATTTCACATAAAATAATAACTATTCCAAACAAGGAAAAATAAATATTCCAACACAAGTTATTTTACAGGAGAGTGTACAGAGATATTTCTTAATATGCTGTTTGGATTTTTTCTAACTTTATTTATGGACTTGATTTATTGAGGTTTAGACGGCATACATGTATAAATGGTGTGCCACAGTCTGCTAGTTAAACAGGTTTACAGAGATCTAAATCAGAGCTATAATAAACAGTAGTATTGCGGTCCATTTATACAGAGTGTTTCTGGGGTAAAGTTCTATGGTGAAGCAGTCACCATGGAAACCAATAGAATGGTCGCTGATGTAGGTTACACGTTTTGGAACGCCATGATTGGTCAGCTTCATAAACTCCCATAGGCTCAAACCAATGTAATAATGATACATCAAATTAACTATTAAGTTCTTGAAATTAAGCAGAACCTTCACAAGTCACACAATTACCCTGTCCAAATGTATAATATTTATGACGGGATATTTAAAGGGGAACCACCACTGTTTTGGACATTACCCTATTCAATAAAACATTGAAAAGTTACCTATGGCTTGTGTTATTTAATTATTTACTTTTATGTTATGCTTAGTTTACTTTGAATGTATATTAAAGGAAAACTATAGTGATCAAAACAACGTTAGCTTGCTCACTGCTCAATTTATTTGCCATTTAGTAATGAAAGCTCCTTGTTTATACCGCCCTAGTCACACCTCCCTGCATGTGTTCTGTTGATAGCCTTCTAGGACCCTCTTGTGTTTGATTAAGGTTCAATCTACAAAGAAGGACATAAAAACCCATAAAGCAAGATGAAAATTAAACCATCTTTTCATGCAGGCCGTGTGGCTCACTGCTAGGGCCGGTGTGACTAGGGCTGTACAGACAGAAAAAAAAAAAAGTTATTTAGTTTGTTGCAAAATTGGAAGTGCTTCAAACTGTTTTTAGTTTTTTTTTTTTGTTTGTTTGTTTTTTTTGCCTTCTTTAGGATTAACAGAAAGAAACAGTTGTGAGAAAGGCTGAACTGGATGGGCACGTGTCTCTTTTCAGCCCATACAAATATGTAACTATATATCTCCTAAACAGAAGTGAATTGAAAAGTGAGACTGCATGGGGTATGATCTAAACACCAAAACACTTCATTACACTAAAGTTGTTTTGAAGTCTATGGTGTCCCTTTAAATATACAGGGAGTTACATTACAATATAGTTCAGCCCAGGCAACAACCAGAGCACACAGTACATTGGAGGATGAGAAATTAAAACTATGGGGGGCATTTATCAAAGGACCCACTTCTCAAAAATGGTACAAAGATACAAAACAGTAGCAGTCTCCAAAGGAATGTACCTGCTGGTTCCAATGGTTTCCATAGTGATTACCATACATTTAGCACTTTTCACCATTTTAAAGACACTATTTTTCATAACACTTTTGGTTTCCCTCTATATTGCTCCTACTCTCTGTGCTGAATGTCAGATGCAAAATCTGTTTATTATTACTATTTCATTTATTTTATAAAAGCTGTTTTTACCTACGTTTTGCAAATTAATTTTCAATTTACTACAATTTGGTGTGTAGCGAATAAAGCATGTTTTACCAGTTTGTTATTTGAAATTCTGTCTATTAAAGATGGAATTGCTATGACAACATCCTACACATATGAGGGTAAACATCACGCTACACATCATACAGAAAAAAAAAATTAGCAAAAGAAATAGTACTAAAATACGTTTCACAGTATCACATGCTTTACAAGGTTCACTTTATTCCATTATGTTTTTCCTGTAACTTAAATAGCATGGATTTTAACAAGGATGCCTAATCATTAACTATGAGCTAGCTAAGAAAATCCTGCAGAGCCAGAGCAATTTTCACCATGTTGCTATGAAAAATGTGGCAGCTGTGAATGTAGAATAAACTAGAGATGACCTGCTCTATTTGCATGCTGTTTTGGGCATACTATTCTCCAGACTTACTGTTTTTATAGTCAGTATTAGATATTATAATTATATTATTGTCCCTGATATCTAAAGTGTAAATTGGTGCATTTTTATCCATAGGGAAATATTTTCCGACAAACCTAATGTATAATGATTCATTTGATGTACCTCTCTGCATTGGCCAGGGATTTGAGAACAAATTGAAAATATCAGATTTTATTGGCTATATTTCCCTTATATGCTAGAGACAATGGTTTTTCGTAGATTCTGTACACTTTGTTTTTTTATTGCAAAACAGACATGCATCTTGCATTAAAAATGGCAATAGCCATTAGACTTGTGCAAAGATTTGCTTTGGATGGTTTGTCCAAGTCAAATGCCTTTTAATTCATACCCATACGAATTGATCATCTGTGATTTACCTTTGGAGTCATATTCAATGATGTGTGGATTAAAAGGCATTTGATTCTGACAATTCATCCGAAACTAATTTTTGCACAAGTCTAGTGTCCATTGAAACGATCGACAGTTAAGTAAAGCTACTATCTAGGGACCCTGGACCACTCAGGCCATACAGTTCATACATTAACCAACTGTGCTATCTCCCTGACCAAAGTAAATACACATCTTTTGCCGTGTGGTGCATAACAGAAGTGTATGCAATCTGGCTAGTCAGATAGTGCAGTTGGTTAACATGGCAACTATAGTACTGATTTAACAGAAAATACAGATTTCAAGATAGACAGCGCCTTTCATTTTTCACAGGTTGATATCAGGAATGTCATTAAGTGGACATCTAAGAATTCACATCTAAGAATTAACTGGTGATTCAGTTACATTCAACAGTGTGTGTTAAAGGGCTCTGATCACCATTTAGGCTGATTCTCTGATATATGCACTAGTATTTTGACTGATTTGCTTTTATGTTCGTTCCTTATTCTGCTGCTTTTAATGTTCTGCTATGCTGTTAAATTCTGAGACCACATTTCTTTACTTATGTTAGCATGCTTCTACAGGATTGTATATTTTTTCTTTATAATATTTTAAATATCTAGTAAAGATTAATGACAAGAAACAAATCCCTGTTGTGGGCATCTGCTCCAATAAAACTGCTCACTTTGGATTTACTTTGAGTGCCTGGACCATCATTTATATTCTGCAAAAGAAATTCAACAGAACTTATGAAAGGGCTTCTTATATTATCAGCAACTTGCAACAGATGAGTGGGTCGCACATATTCTGAAATGGCCTAGCATCCTAGAGAATTCAATATACCAACAGGATTAATCATAAGGTGAAATTAAGTGGCAGACTAGAGCCCAGGGCTTAGATAGATAAATACATTTGCTTGACCCCAATAACCATCCCTATGTGAAGAATGAAAGAGGGACAAACTGCCCCATGTATGCAGTGTTTACATTGCTGCCTAGGACGACCTACAGGTGCAGTCAATCAGATGGCCACTAGAGGTGTTTCCTATTTCAGGAAATGCTTCCCGCAGAGATGCATTGATTCAAGGAGATGCTGATTGACGCAGAATTTTCCAGCCATGTGCAATAGCCTTCCAATGATTTCCCATGGGAAAACATTAGATTGACTGAGATCATCAAGACTGATGATGTCAGGCATGGAAGTGGGGCCAACCAATGCAAGACTGGCAAGGCGTGGGAGAAAAGGTGAGTAAAAAAACATGTTTGCATTCCTAACACACACTATAGTGTTCCTTTAAGTGAATAAATTAATGACCCCTTTTTTTTTTTTACCCTTTTAGGGTATATGACCCTTTATTTTCAAAGCATAAAGATAATGCACAAAAAATTATGCAAACAAAAAGTAAAAAACAAAAAACCTTACATCTAAGGTTCCTCAAAGCATGGGCAGGCAGACCACTGCGTCATTAAGGAGAGACTCTCATCTCATAAACCCCAGCACAGCTGATATTTATAGGATAATCACTTCATCCTCCAGAGAAGTTCCAATAATCAGTTTGAATGAGTGCAACTACAGTGCAATTTGATAGCAGCAATACCACCACTGCTAGCAATAGCCCGGTACAAAGATGCTGTCTCAGTGGGTGCAGTACACGTCTAGCCTCTGTCCTCAGGGGAGAGAGAGCTCATCACAAGGTATGCGTGAGGCATGCAGGTAATCCATGCAAAAATCTGGACAAAATTAACAGGAGTTGCAGTGGTTTTTACTAATTGCTGCAGTTTTCAGTTGCATCAGGGTGTGATGGTACTTAGACCTCTTTAGGTTCACTATTCACATATAATGTGGTCAGACTTGATGGATATTTTGTTTTTTATCTGCAGTGAAAGCAGTGACATCTCTTCCACTAAGCCAACAAGGCCTGGGCCCAGGGCAGTATGGGGTGGCAATAGAATTCAATACAATTCCTGTTTGTTATAGTACCAACTCTTTCTGAATCCCATTGCAGCTCTCTGCTGTTGTTGTTTTTTTTAAATTCTTTATTTAAAACCAGCAACCAAAAAGTACAGTGCCAAGAATAATGGACACGTTATGCATATAGTAACAATTTAGAAAAACCGATACATCATAATTACAGGTTTCAATCTCTTATAACTAGAATGATATGTGTTAGCTCGATTCCTGAGTGGTACTCTGGCATGGCATCATTTTAATATGTTAAGAAATAAAAACGAACGGGGTTGGAGTGAAGGGTCAAGAAGAGGAGAAGGGGGCATAGGTTACACCCTAGATTCTCCCTCGAGGGTCATGCAGCCTTGAACAAACTGCTTCTCATAGTGTATCGAAATGGCAGGTGTATGTCTGTGGTGCATAAGTGGGCCGGGTTTGGGCCTTTCATCTACAGGTGGCCAACCCCCAGGCCCCGCCAGGGTGACCCCCTCTAGGTACCAACGCGCCGGGGCTCCTTTATTGGCTAAATACTGTGACCCGGACCCATAGCCCCCAGAGTGAGGGTGCTGCCGGGAAAGACCCCAAAATAGGTGGATTGTAGGGAAGAAGTCATCCCATGAGCCCCACCCGAGGTTTCAAAATTGGGTCATTGTTGGAGATGAAAGGAAGATGTGTTGTAGATGAGGGAGAAGTCATATCGCAACTTTATAGGAATGACAAGACGGAGGGAGTTGTTTAGTGTCGCTGTTAGTTGGTCCATTAGATGGTTTTCCTCTATTTTTGTCCTTACCTCTCTGATAGACTGTAGGGTGTTTTTTAACCAGTGTGCCGCCAGGACTCGCCTAGCTGCTAAAGTTACTTTGTTACACAATTTCTGCTCCCGGTGTGTCAGGCTCTACTGGGACTTGGATAGCAATAACGGCCAGAGATCCAACTAAAACGGTCAATGGAAGACGAGGACAAGGAGTGACAGAACCACCAGGTATGAGAGTATGTTCCTCTCATCCAGCACATTCTCCAGCAGTCATCTGAGTGGCGATAGCTGTACCAGTGTAGTATGGCACCGAAAAAGGACCTAATCCAACTGTTCCTGGGAAATCACACACACTGAAACATTTGCTGCAGCCTCCTACATATCCAGCCATTCATCCCCTTTTATCTCCCTGCCGAGGTCCTCCTCCCACTGGTCTATGTACCAAGCTTTAGAGCTAGAACAGAGTTCTGTGTATATGTCAGAGATCAGTCACTTTCTGTATGTACATGTTATGGTACATCTTGAGAACACATCTTGAGCACTGTCATTACATCTAGGCCATCACACCATCCTTTGACCATGCATGTTTACATTGTGCAGCACTCTTGCGTCAATTATGATGCAAAGCGTCATTCTTGTGGCAATAGTGAGGCCACACATTATCTCGTACTGCCAAGTGCATGAGACGCGGCGTCACACTGGTATCCCTTGTCACTCAAGTTCTTGCTTCTTAGGTGTGATAGTATTACACCAATGGGTATATATACTTACAGATTTCCTATGGTCTTTGCCTTGTCATGGTTCCTGTATACCCAAGAGTGCATTCCTTGTGTTTATGGTTATTTTGCCTTCTGATTTTGTCTTCTCTGCCAACTCTTGACTTTTGTAATCCTGACATCGGCCTCTGTTTTATGTTACTTCTCTTTTATGTTACTTCTGTCTATTTTTTCACATCACCAACTTGGACACTCTGAAGACCGGTAAGTTCTTCTGTCTCGTCTCTACCTAGGTTTGCCTTGAAAAGTCAGAGTAACCCTATTCCCCCCAGTAAGCAGTGATGCATAGAACAGTATCTTTGGGTGAGAGTCCAGAAGCCGGAGCCTTAACACCAGTCCGCTTCCTCCTTGCCAAAAAACCCTCAACTCCCACAGTCCCCTCTCTTAAAGTCTCACAATATGCATACCTGCAAGGTCCATGTTTATCTATTGAACTTATTGTATTTTGAGAGAGGATTCACTACGACAGGATACAGTGAGGATGCTGCAAAGAGTAGTTCAGGTCAGGAATGGCAAGGGTGATAAACTGTGAAAAAATGTCAAATAAAGATCACTGCATCAAAGCCTGTGTATTTATATAATATTTGCTATAAACAATGGCATTTCGAAATGGAATCTGATCATCAATTCTTAACCCTGATACATTCTGCTGTCAAAAAGTAGGACGCTAGATGCTAACTTAATGGATTTAAGTTTTTTTTTCCTGTTATTATACAAGGAAAATGTCTTGCCATAATAAAATAAAGCTAACAATTATACGTAGTCTATGTTTTAAAACTGACGTTACTCTCTCATCTAGACAAATCACTGCTTGTCCCCTTGGGCCCTTAAAGAGTTTAATTATGTCAGATTATAATGGACTTTACTGAAACAATATCATATATTCATAATTAATCTTTGTATCTACATACAGTACTAATGGAAAAGATGCTAAGTTAGACAGCACTTAGACAGGTTTAACAGCAAGGTGCCACTGGGGTATTAATACACACAGCAGAGTGAGCATAGAGCGCTATAAGGCATTCCAGGGCTGTATGAGGAGATACATTGTGATTCTGATTTCATATTTAAATCAGAGTATTATACTAGTTATACATGCACGTAGTAAGGTTAATACAGAAAGCCACAGCCTGATTAACTGCTTAGAGATGCAGTTCTAGCTTTGCAGTTAAACATTTGAAATCAAGTATATAGAAGAACAGTTTCCTCCTGTGTTAATGGGGCACCATAGGCATAAAAACAACTTCAGCTGAAAGGAACACTATACACAAATGTGTATTCCTGATACTAGAGGTCTAAATAGCTGCTTAGTCCCCTGCCCCCACTTAACCTCCAAATAAAACAGTGATTTACTCATCTTTTTCCAGCACCGCGCATTGCTGGCCCAGCCTATGCTCCGCCCCATCGCTGAGATCATCAGACTTGATCATTTCAGCCAAATCAATGCTTTGCTATAGGGAATCTTTGGTAGGCTATCGCGCATGCATGGCAAAACACCACACTGCGCCAGTCAGCATCTCCTAATTGAGATGCATTGAATCAATTCATCTTTGTTGGGAAAGTTCAGCACCTCCATGAAGAGCATGAAGACGCTGTGCAGCACTGACCCAGTAAGCACCTCTAGTGACCGTCTGAGTGACTGAAAAGGCAGTGTTTACATCAAAAAGCCTACAGAGACTGCTACTACATTAAGCTGTTGTTGTTGTTCTGGTGACTATAGTGTCCCTTTAATTAAGCTATTTTATTGTATAAGATTATGCCACTGCAGGCTCGCTGCTCAATTCTCTGACATTTAGAAGTTAAATCACTTTTGTTTCTGTCTCTGCAGCCATAGCCACACCTCCGCTGGCTGTGACTGGCACATCCAACGTGAAAAAATAGTTTCATTTTCAATTAGATGTTAACTTGCTTTAGAAGCTTTTATTTCCCATGCTCTGTAAATTGATCTTTAATTACACACAGTAGGCTCCTGTAGTGACTAAAAGACTTTAGATAATTCTCATTAGATCTCTATTTAAAGGAAGTGTTTAGGAAGTCTGTGTAAGTCACATGCAGGGAGGTGTAACTAGGGCTGTATAAACAAAGTGATTTAATTCTAAATTGCAGAGAATTGAGCAGCGAGACTTCATGATCTATACACCAAAACTGCTTCTTTATTCTAACGTTGTCTTGGTGTCTATAATGTCCCTTTCATTTTTCGAAGTGGCCAAACAATCTGCCAATCAGCAAATAATTTGTTATATTTCACATTCAAAATAGGCACAGACTCTTTACAATCAGGATCAGAGCCTTTTCCTTCCAGAAAGGATTTTAAATATAGGTTGGTATCCAGCTTAACAATAAAATAAGGAAGTTATTCAGATCAAGATTGTGGCATGATTGTACACTACATCATGGCTGAACTGGATACATCCATTTTTTATATAGATTAAATCTTTTAAGTTAAGTATATTAAACAATAATAGTTAAAGAAGTTATATTTTGTCATTTGTGCCATAAATGGTTGGCTTCTGCAGTTGTGATTTGATGGCTCCTTTGTAATTTACTGAGTGAAAGCAAAGTCATAAATTGCAAAACAATACCCTAAAACTTTCAAAGCAGTGGTTCAGGAAACCCTAAACATATTATAAATGTAAGTATCCACCCGGCAAGCCAGTCAAGTCTCCTTGAAACCATTTACAACTACAACATGCTATAGTAGTTATGGTGCTTACAGTGTCCCTTCACTTACGTAGCCTGTAGGACCAACATATAGAAAACTGCAAAGCTCACAATTTTAATTCCTAGCTATCAGAGAGGCCCAAACCTGCTAACTACTTCATACCTCCTAAAATGAACTTCAAATGGACAGAGGAACACTTCAATTTTTGGTTGAGTGCAGGTGTGGCTGCGGGCAGGGCTGTTCTGAGAGATTTTCGGTGAATTACTAAAAACAATAATCACATTTATTATAGTTTAACCCCATAAGGACTAAACTTCTGGAATAAAAGGGAATCATGACATGTCACACATGTCGTGTCCTTAAGGGGTTAAAGACACATTACCGCGAGTATTATTGCTGTGGAGCTCTATTATACACACAGACACATCAATAACATAGAGTTCCTAAAAAAGATGAACAATAGGATAGAAAGAGGGATGGAAGCATTTGGGCCCAAAATAGGAACTATTCCTCCTAAATAGGGACACTTGGGGGGGTATGATACTGCAAGCTTGGAGCGTCCATGGCACACTCACCAGTGGTGAATTTTTGTTTGCAAGGTCTGCATTTTCACTCACCAGTGGCTAGTGGGCAAATGGAAATTTTGAGCCCTGCATTACACCATGAATTTTGTTTCCATGTACTGTTCGATTTTGCTATGGGCACCTTAAAACACAACTCATTAGGAAGGCAATGAACCTTTACACTGTGTTCATATCTGGCCTAGAGTATTAATGATATGCAATGTTCTTGTAGGGTGTTGCAGACACGTATATTGCATTTGATAGATAGATCTTTTTTAATTGTCTTTATATGTCTTGAATGAAAAAATGAAATGTATAGTTTTGGATTGGAACATATAGATATCTTACCTTTTCATATATTATAAACCAAATAAAGGTACCGCAACCAATGACCAACAGTAAGCGTAAAATTAGAATACAGTTAATTTAAGAAATGTGTTCCAGAGATTCAAATTAATATTTCATAGAAAGTTTTTATGGCCTGAATAACAATTAAATGTATGCATCTTTAATGCAGAAGCCAAAAGAGAAATACTGCATTAAATGTTCGCTCCCATTACATTATAAATCAGTCTGTTTGGTTGCCAGACACATTTCCTATCTGATTTGGATAATATTATTGTAAAGGCGAGTTATCGTAAAGGCACCCTTTCAAAAATCTATAGCCATTTTGTAAACTTCCCTGAGGTCGATGGAGAATTAAAATACAATGCCCGCATTAGTTATCAAGACTGGGCTAATGCCAATGAGTTTGAAGGCGTATATAGGACTGCAAGTTTTAAATAGTAAATTATACTGAATAAGCAAATATTCAACAGATAACTGGTAGATAGCTCATAGCCCTCGTATTTTTGTAAGACACTTTCGCAAATATGTGTAAAAAACACACTCCTTCTCTAGTAATATAGTTTCTGAGCATTTCGGTTGTTCCAGTCCCACTACAGTTCCAGAGTTACTGTGAACTTATCCAAACATTTTGGTATTCATAATAATGATCCTAAACGTTAAAAAATGATTGCAATCAAAAATACAGAAAATAGAAACATGGAAATATAGAATTTGAAGGCAGATAAGAACCATTCGGCCCATCTAGTCTGCCCTATTTTCTAAATACTTTCATTAGTCCCTGGCCTTAAACTCTCTTACTGCGTGTGACGGACCGCCGTCACTGAGTACCATGCCCACTGCTTATTCGTGTATTTACCCCTTGTATCGTGTAGTCTCTCTGTGTTTCCCTTTCCCCTGCCTTTTCCCGTCAAAGCAAGATGTGGACATAGGGACAATGCCAGCTTAGGTTGCAGGGGCTGCTGTGTCCCTCTTCCATCCCCCCATCATCTTTTTGGGATTGAAACCCCTGTTGTTTTGTGTTGGAGACCCCATGTAGGGGTCTGTACATGTAAAACCATGTGTGACATAAAAAACAGAGTTAATTTATATTGTTCCTCCAGAGCTGTGTGTTGTGTCCAGTTACTGGGGGGAAAATGGATGCCTGCTTGTTTTAAGGGTTCCTGAACAGCTGAAGGAAGGGAATTAGCGGAGGTAACCGGTCGGGTTACCAGGGGTCCGCTACACTGTGTTAACCTCTACTACTTCAGCTGGAAGGCTATTCAATGCATCCACTACCCTCTCAGTAAAATTCTGGATGGGTGTTGCATTAAAAGAATTGCCGTATATGAGATGGATTGGGTTTTCAATTTGAAAACTTTAGTAACCCATATTTGATTTTATTTTTCTAATTTATTTCTTAATTTTATATATTTTTGTGCCATTCTTTTCTATTACTCCTGATGATATTATTAACACTTACGCTCCCCACCCCCCACCCCAATATTAGAGATACATATTACAATCAAAAATACTATTAAGTGATATAAAATTAGTTGAAGTACTGTATTCACTAGATTTCATGAGACATAAGCTCTGAGCAATGTGGCTTGTGTATTTTTTTCCTCTGACCTCTTCACCTAGGAGGGCAGAGGTCAAAAACCATAACCAATTAATATTTTTTCTTTATCAGGAAATTATTTCCTGAGAGCTGAGCTGTAGGAACCTTGACACTGTGTGTGTGTAACTCACAGCGAAGGGGCAATCTGTCCAAGGCTTCTGGGGCTACTATGCTGTGTGTATTGCGTCTGTTGACACCAGGCGGGAAAGTTGCACAAAACTAATAGTGCAGGCAAGAAAAAAAATATTCCAGCTGGCTGATTGACCGTCCAGGGAGGTGGCACTACACAGAGAAAATTGTATTTATCTCCAGAATTAAACATAAAAAAAAAGTTGCAGGGAGAGTTTTTTTCATCTTTTTTTTATATTTCAGTAAGAGTAGATGGTTATGATTCTTAGAGCAACCCTTTAAAATATAACTTTCATCAAAGATTCACTTTTATTCTTTAAATAGTTTATTATATTTAATGAAGCAATGATAATTTTCTTCAATCATGTATATTGAATATTTTATTGAGAACGTTTTATTTTTTATTTTGGTGAGCAGCCATGATGGGTCAAATTCTACAATTATCTGGCCAACTGCTGATCTTCGTAAGTTGCCAGCTGCTGCCGTGTCACATAGACCAAATGTGGCAGCAGACAAGTTAGGCTGAGCAGCAGTTGGTCAGATAACAGAAGAGTCTGACCCAACATGGCTAATCAGCCAGATAGAAAGAAAAATGTTCTTAAAAAAGAAAGAAAGAAAGAAAGAAAGAATATACATATATATCATTAAAAAACCAAATTGTTTAATTAAATGTACTAGACTTCTATGTGAAAATATGATGACAGCTGTCCTTTAAGGGAATACCCCACACCCCTAAAGCACTTATGTGTGAAGAGTGTGTCCTCTATTTTTTCATTTTACAAAAAGTGCAGATTTGAAAAGAAGTTGTTACTTTAATAGATGAACCTTTGTTGCATCCCCTGGCAGATAAGTTCTGTTACTTTCTGGTTTAGTTAGCTTGGAGCATCTGCCTTGCAAGCACTTCTCATTAAAATGCTTTGGGAAGTCTGTGATAGAACAGCCACAGAAAGTCTTTCCTGTGGAAGAAAGGGGGGACTTGAAAAGGCTTCAGAAAATAAATTTGTAGCTTTTCCAGTCAGTTTTTAGATAAACCCCCAATGAAAATAATATGCATAATTACATGCATTCATGTTTTCATCTGGGTAAATCTATTGAACATTGATTTTTTTTTAGAATTTGTGTGTGTGTGTGTTGACGCAGTAGAATGTTCCTTTAAGTGTTTACTAGTCCTGATCTAGATTACTAAACGAGGAGCTATCCAGTGCTGCTTCTTTGGCCTGTCCATCTTTAAGTATTTTGGATACAAGCACAGTCTTCACATTCCATTATAATATTGCATTGTTCTTATAGTAATGTGTCCCTTTAGGCAGTGCTGGACTGGGAAAAAATTGGGGTTAAAGGGTTAAAATCCAGGGGACCTGGCACCCAGACCACTTCATTGAGCTGAAGTGGTCTGGTTGACTATAGTGTCCCTTTAACAATATTGCAAATAAGCAGTAGCTTCAGGAAGACATCTCACAAGGCAACTATTGTCCAGCTACACACCTCTTATGATAGAATCCCCAAACAAAAACGTTTTTTTCCCCCTTTTTTATAAATAATCATTATTAAGAAATTACGATTAATACAAAACAACATAAAAAGGCATGTAACAATATTTGTCCACCAATATTTGTGCATATAAACTTTACATATAAAATACATGAAACTTTCATGTGTGTTACTTGAGTCATTGTTATGTCTGATCTGTTCGAAATTTATATTGCGAAATAATATCGGACTAGGACATCATATTAGTTAACAAACCTACATACAAAAAAAACCAAAAAACAAATATACACTGCTTATCTCTTAATTGCCAAGAGAGAGAGGCAGATACTAATAGTCAACATTTCTTTAATGAACTATTGTATTAAAACTGCATTTATTACATTTACTATTGCTGGTCCAGTCCTGGGGTACCTAGTTATATTGTTTGTTTATTAAACATTTCTATGATTCAGTTCCGTAAAATAATCAGACTCTTTATTAAACTCCACCAATTACTCTACTGAAAAACCACCTTGTCATGTGGATAAAATGAGAATTTCCTAATTAACATATATTCCATATAGATGATTTCTTACTGATATTATGTAGACTAAGTATTTGTTCCATTCTGATCTGAAATTTAAGTTGGTTTATTACCTGTGACCAAGGAATGATGTTTCTATTTTTCCAGTTTCTAGATATAACAATTTTTGTAGCTAAGAATAATTGAGTTAGAATTAAATTATTCGCTGGAGATGTAGAGAGCCAGTTTAAATTAAGTAATACTACGTCTGGAGTGAGATTAATTTCAAAATTTAGACTTTTTTTTAATAAATTGATATACTTCATCCCATAATTTTTGTATTTTTATACAGTTCCACCAAATATGGAGGTATGTACCTGTTGATATCCCACATCTCCAACATAGATGATCTTCTGTAGGAAACATTCTATGCAATTTGTCTGGAACTAAGTACCATATATGAATTACCTTGAAATGAGATTCTAACATATTTAAAGAATGTGTAATTTTGGAAACTTTTGTCAAAGTAGACCCCCGGTCGTTAATTTCTATGTTGATATTCAGTTATTTTTTCTGTAGGTTTTTTTTTTCTTTCATGAGGGATCTACTAAAAGATAAAGCTCTAGAGAATGGTTTTTCTAAAGGATTTGAATTGAATAATATTTTTATTCTGTTCGACTCTAAGGAATCCAATTTTATTAAATGTGATGTTATAAAACTTTTTATCCTTAAAAAGTTAAATAGATCTTTTGATGGTAAGTTAAATTCATTCCTCAGTTGAGGAAAATATTTAAGTACTCCATTTTCTAATGGTTGAGATATCTTATTTATTCCCACTTGTGTCCACTTAATTAGGTTTAGGTCACAAACTTGTTCAAAAATTTCAGATCAAGATGTGTTGGAATTTTGTTTTTGATCTTCAATATTACTTTAATTTTTGCCCAATTTTTCAAGATATGTGTTGTAATAATATTGGGATAGTGTATTTTCCCTATCGACCTAGTGTTCCAGATCAGACCTTCTAAACTCGTAACTTCCCCTGCTTTAGCTTCCATCTTATACCATCCTTCATTACTGTTATTACTTAATTGCATTCTATAAACATGTAGTAGTATAGAGGCTATATAATTTTTCTTAATAATAGGATATCCAATACCTCCCTTGTTCGACTTCTGGGCTAAGGTAATCTGACTTGAGCTTTTTTCCCTTTCCATATATATATTACATAAAGCGGGTCTATATCGTTTCAAGCCAGCTATTAGCGATATTTAATGGCAACATTTGAAACAAATAATTCCATTTAGGTATTACATATACATTCACTACATTGACTCTTCCCCAGAAATTTATCTCTACATTTTTTCGTTCTTTTAGCCATCTATTAGTGTTTTGTAGAAGATTCAGGAAGTTTATTTCCATGATTCGATTGGTTTCTCTTGTTAAACTAATACCTAAGTAATCAACTGTTTCTTCTACCCACAGTAACAACTGCCTTCTATCAGGCCTCACCTTATCCTTTTTGTCATTGGCTGCAGTCTTGCTCAACTTTGACATAGAGGAAGGGGGTTCCACAAACTCAGTGCCTAAACCTGTCTTTGTAACACCACTACACTCTGTGCCTGAGAATGTCTCCACAACACGACTACACTTGGTGCTTGAGCCTGTCTCCACAACACTACTACACTCAGTGCCTGAGCCTGTCTCCATAACACCCCTAGACTTGCTGCCTGAGCCTGTCTCCATAACACCACTACACTCTGAAACTGCTGAAAATGAATTATTTTAGGTATAACACATGCATTCACTATTCAGACTGTGCAATATGCATTTTATCCACATCTCTAAGTCTACCAGATCCTACAGAAATGCATCTGCCATTCCTAGGATGTCTCTGTGGCAGTGGGTTTGCAACCGTTCCAGCCTGAGTTTGTTTACCAGATAATTTACAAATCTCAGACTTCAAAAATACAATCTCCTGCCGCAATGTAGAGAACTGTCTACAGATTAGACAACAACCAAACCTCCAAAAAGTGGGACATGAAACAAATGCATAACAACTATTACACTGAACTAAGTCTGTCATTTTAATGAAGTGAGTAATTAAAGTCAAACAAATCTAAATGTTTTTTTTACCTCCTGTATACCTCAGATGACCTCCAGTTTATCTCCAGAATATCTCCAAGCACACAATTAGAAGCAACAATCAAGCTATATTAGCCAAGCTAATGACCACAACCCATATATAACTCCTAAAAGCACCATGTGTTGCTCATGTGTTGTTCAGCTGAAGTTGTATTTACCTAATTTTAAGACCTGCTAAGGAACAGATTATTGTAATGTCCTGATATGTAAAACCATAGAATTCAAAGAGGGTTTACTTTCTTTTTCCCATTCCTATATATATGCAACTTCTTCCCCTCACATGGAGCCCCGCACAGGGAGAGAATGGAGGAGAGCTAGCAAGATCAGGATTGCTGTCAAGTCTCACTCAGTAGGCGATGGGGTCACTTATAGTGGAATAGACACCAATCTTTTGGTGGAACTTGTGGAATTTTTCCTTTCAGCCAGGCCCCTGACTGCCTTGGGCCCTCAAACCATGATCGAAATGCTTGAGTGGTCAGTCCGCCCCTGGCCTTACCGATAAAATAGGCACTTGCTCTCCAACACTATCAGGGGTATTTACTAGAGTGAGGATTCAAAAATAATTTCAATTTATTGGCCACAATAGCCGGACAGGAAGCATACATAACTTGGAGAATGTTACCAGTTCAGCAATTTTGATCTTTAATTGGATTTCACTTTGAATTCACTTTATATAGCATATCCTGTTAGCTAGCTCAGTGTTTATGAGGCTTAAGCTTGTTGGTATCAGAACTATAATCAGCTATAAAGAATTCTGTCATTAAATGATATAAATTCACAGAATTGATGTGTTTCACCAAGTCTAGAGCTAACCTCACTCATATTATCCACTCTGGTCACTTCCCATAATGCCTCATTGATTTAATGAAAAATATAATCCTATGCATTGCCCTGTTTCTGATATGGGACTTTAATAACAACAACATTATAATTGTAAATACTATAAACACAAAGAGGTTAAAGTATTAAGATACTAATTAATTTCCGGGAGGGTGCTGTAATGTCATGTTAGACTGAGAGGATCTCCACAGGAAACCAGATTATGATTTGTGTTGGTGTAAACATTTATGATGATAATCAGATGAATGTACAGAATGTACAATTTCATGCTGAATCATCCAATCAATATGCCTATTAACTAAACCAACAGGGAGTTTTACTAAGGCAAAAACAGGTGCTATTCTGAGGTAAAGTAATAAATAAGGAGCAATTACCATGGAAACCAATAGACTATCTCTCAACACATAGCACTTTGGACCCAAAATAACAAAATTACCTAGTCTGTTTCCTACTAGCTATCAGGGACCCTGGAAAACTTAGACCCAGTCACCGAGGTTTGACTGGGATCGCTGAGAGCCTTGTCCACCCTTGACCAGGCTACTGGGATTATAGCCCTGGACACCCTTTTCATCAGCAGAGCAGTAATCAGAGATCTTTTCCCAAACACCAGATGACACTTGGTGAAGGTTAAAAAAACAACTCACTTTAATATACATAGCATATAAATGCATCTGGATGGTTCTTATCTGCCGTCACATTCTATGTTTCAAATGGGAGATTCAGGAGGGACAGGGCAGCTAGTTTGAACTGGTCTGGCAGTGTCCGTGGGACAATGCGACAATGCCCTGCTGGGGAAACAAGAGGAAAGAGGGGGAGGGAGAAAGACACAGACAACCTGGACAATCAATATATGCAATAAATCCTGCACCAATAATGGGCACAGGGTGAACAGAACACAAGAGGAATCTGGGAACATACATATAGTGTCTGTCTTCCATCCCCAGTGATGGTGACTACCGTCACAGGAATCATCAACATTACTTATTAAAATATGCAGAAATGAATGAAATAAAAATGTCATATTGGAATGTCCCTCGTTTTCAATATAAATCATCTGAATTTAACTGTTCTGAGGTATATACAATTCTTCCGGGTATCTCACATTCAACAGATTACATACTTTACATGTTATTAGACATGTTTGCCTACATTACAAACTGAAATATTTAATGGTTGACATCCATTACATGCATATTAATTTACATCTGTCACCCAAAAGGTTTACTATTAAAGGAACACTCCAAGACCCATAACCACTACAGTGCACTGTAGTGATATGGTACCAGGAGTGCGCTGGTGCTCCCATTGTAAGGAGTCAAACTGTTCTAGAAAAGTTTGCATTCTTACCAGGAGTCTTTCAGGTTCTGCTGTCTGTCTACAGGACAGTTCAGTGGGAGCACGAAGCTCTTGCTTAGGAGGCTCTGTTAACTCTAGTGAGCTAGCCTCTTCTGTGCAGGGCTAACTCATTGGCTCAGATTGTCAGCTGATCGCTTTCAGCCTATAAGCTAGTCAGTGCTCCTAGCTCAAACTTCTTACAGGACACCATTGCCACCATAACCACTACAGCACTGTGTAGTGATTATGGTGCTTGGAGTTTTCCTTAGACTATTATTTAACCAGTAGATGAACGTTCAATACTCCTTTTGGTTTTTCAGATTTTATGATAATCATAATAGCATATTTCAATATTACTTAGCCATATACTTGCCTTGAACTGTCTCTTTATGCTTGCAATTATGTTAGTTTAGGCTACTCAGCTATACCAGCTATATCCCCACTGTGGAGTATTTTTCATTTTCGGCTTTTATTTATTAAGATATTCATATTAAGTTCTTTCTAAACATTGGAGGTGAAATTAGGGGTTACTTAGATGTATCATATCCTCTATGGTAAGAAGGCTGACTAGAAGTGTTTAAAACTGCAATTCACCTGTCGGGAATTAAATATTTGGCTATTCCAGATGGATTGGAAACACTCTCACCTATGCTTTAGGGAATGTAAGTTCTTAAAAAACCTTCAGAACTCCAGATTTTGTGGACCACATCTCTCCTGATGCTTTGCAAGTATTATGGCTGTAGAATGATTACAGGAGATGTAGTCCACAACATCTGGAGTGTCAAAGGTTGTCTACTAATGATTTAAAGGGATGATGTTAAAGGACCACATAGGCATCCAGACCACTTCAGCTCAATGAAATGGTGAGGGTGCCAGATCCCTCTAGTGTTAACCTTGCAGCTGTAAACATGTTTCACAGAGGGTTAATCCAGCCTCTCACTGACAGCTGCTAGAGGCGCTTCCACGATTTTCACTGTGAAAATCACAGTGAGAAGATGCTGCCGTCCACAGGAAAGCATAGAGTAATGCTTTCCTATGGGCGGTTTGAATGCGCGTGCGGCTCTTGCCACGCATGCACATTCGGAGCTGACGTCAGCAGAGGGAGGAGAGTTCCCCAGCGCCGAGGGAGCCCGGCACTGGAGAAAGGTAAGTGGCTGAAGGGGTTTTAACCCCTTCAGCCCAGCGGGAGGGTAGCCATGAGGGTGGGGGGGACCTAAAGACCCTATAGTGCCAGGTAAACGAGTTTGTTTTCCTGGCACTATAGTGGTTCTTTAAGCACCACAAGAAATACACCCTGCTGACACTGTTCCTTTCTGTGTCAAGCCATTTTTGAGTGATTTGACTAAATTTGAGGGTCTCTCTGGTGCCCTTGCCCATCATGTTGCTAGGAAGAAGGTACATATAGTAATATTAGCAATATCAGTTCCATCCATGAATAGATGGAGTTTGGTAGTCTCCAATGATTGCAGCCCCGAGATGAAAAAAGTGAAGGTCCAGATCTCGGGTACATTAGGTAACCCTTACTTGCTTCAAACAACTCTGTCCCATTCCTGTAGTGGTATGCTACAGGAATGGGTCAGAGGTAGGGGCATGATCCACCACCGCCACTACAGCAGGCTGTAACATATATGTGTTTATCGTGCTCATTTAATGAAGGTGAGATTATATTTCTGTTGTTCTAGAATATATAAATATATAAGTGGATCTAGAACTACAGGAGAGCAATATGGTATCACTTAAAGCTTCCCTAGCCTGATTAAAAATGCAGAGAGTAAATAAATCACATATTATAATAAAAACAAACTTCATTCAGCCTCGAATTTACTGTGGTAAATTTAAGATTGTCAGATTAAGAACACAACAACCCTACTCTTTTACTTCACTTTACTTTACTTTACTTTAAAATGTATTTAAACTTTATTGGATAACAATTGCTATTCTGGTCTAGAACATAACCAAGTAGCTGTTAGCCTTTGACTATCAATAATTTAAGGCATCAGTGGTCTGCAAAGTGGATGAGAGTGGTCAGTCTGTACGTCTCACGCATGCTGTTAGGGCCACCTGATGGAGATGGATTGTCAGGGGGCCCGGTCAGCGCTTTAATAATAACATCACATGCTAGGAGAAAGTGACTGGCCCGGGAGGAAGCAGAGGAGGGAGTCAGATTGGGAACACTGACTCCCATCAACCTGAGCCACCACTGGACCCCAGGGAATGTCACCCTCTTGCACCTAAAAGGTAGGAAACAGGAGGGTGACTTAAACATTTTGTGTATATGTGTCTGTGTGTATGTGTGTGTCTGTCTGTATGTATGTGTCTCTGTGTATGTGTGCCTGTCTGTTTGTATGTATGTATGTATGTATGTCTTTGTATGTGTGTCTTGTGTGTGTGTGTGTCTGTCTGTATGTATGTGTTTGTGTGTCTGT